ACCTATTCTATCTTTTCCTCCTCCAGCTGTTCTCTCCCCTACTTCAGCTGCAGTCTTGCCTCCTCTACCAGCTGAACAATCATGTTCTGATGTTCTGAATCATGAAAAATGTATGTAAATTTGATAAACAAACTACATTTCCTACATTCCTGTTTCTCTTTAGACTTTTAATAATCTATAGTTTTAGTTAACATTGTACTTGATTCAATTTAATATTTGATACATTTTTGTTTACATTCAGAGATATATTTCATATACTAAAAATAACTAATGCTGTTGTGCATTCACAATAGTTATTTCAATTACTATTTTTACCTCATACATAGGCATAAGGGATGCCTGGGGAGGCAAAAAAGCACATGTTCTGCTGTCGCGAATGGGGCCCTACAAAATGTTTTACTGGGACATTTTGAGGACAGCCCCAAATGGAGAGCTTGAAAGCGAGGTGAGCTTAGTTGAATGACTGACTTGTCTACTTGGATTGTATATAATTTATCCAAGGTAATGTTACATACTCTTACTCATTTATCTGTCTCACAGGTAATAAATGCATATATAGCCCAGGCAGTCAAAAAAAACAACCAAATAAGAGACGAAAAGGCTCTTCAAATTGACTCCTTTGAAATGACCAGAATATGGGAGAAAAAAAACTCACGACTGAAAGTATGCACAGGAAAATCTTTTTTGTAGGGCCTTTTTAAGTGGATTGTAATTTAATAGAATTTATTAACTGATTTTGTAAATAATTATTATCTGTTTTAGTGTGATCCAATAAAATACAAAGTGATTTTGGGAGCCGTCCATGAGCCGGGTCACTGGATGTTGGCTGTAAGGACCTTGCTCTGCATTGCTGACATTTGTTGAGAGCCACAATATTACCAATAGCTGTACAACATGACTATATTGATACTATACAATAATATATTGTAATATAATAATCTACTAATCTACAGGCAATCTTTCCGGCTGAAAAAAGGAGCCTTGTGCTGGATCCCCTGGGGAATGATGCACGCAAAATAAAACAGTGTTTGGAGTCCACAAGGTAATTGTTGTGTCCATATATGCAAGTTGTTCCCTTTTAATTACAAAACTAAAATATGTAAATATGTTAGCATAATTTTACCTTTGTCTTGCCTTTTCAGGGCCTTTGTCAGAAAACGAGGCTGCAACGTTTCAAAGTGGACAGCCAGCACAGCTCCACACAGTTCACAATTGGATGGAACGTCATGTGGGGTATTTGTTCTGAAAGTAAGTTTTTTTTTTTATCATGCTGTGTCCACTTTATTATACTGGTGTCTACATCATTATAACAGTAAAGTATTTTAAAACAATAGTATGCTGGTTTATATAGTACTTATGTATTTATTTACTATGCACTAACAAATCAGTTATAAGCATGTGTCATATTAGTATGCAGAGAAAATTCTGGCAGGGGAGCCTCTGACCTTTGCAAACAAAGCGTCAGCAGTGAACAACTTCAGGAAAAAGATCGCCATGACCCTGCTGGATGAGAGTGGTACGTTTGTTTAATTATGTACTTTTGATTAATAATTAATCTTCTATGTGAGGGGCTGCACAATAGGGGTGCACAAAATATCACTTGTAAGTCTTTAATTCAAGAACTCTCAATACAAAAAAATTTGAAAATTCAAGACAAAGAACAGAACAAGTAGTATAAATACACAGGAGATTATAACTGAGACAACAGGTGAATGGGATAACTAATCAGACACAATGGGAAAACTGAGTCAAAAGACAGGCACTAAACTAAAACAAAATAAAACATAACCCTAACACCAGTCAAATTTAGAGCTCAACACATCAATGACAGCTTTTACTGTAACTTGTGCTGGCAAATGACCATGGTATAAGGAGGAAAATCCAAGGTTAGCTGTTCATTAAACTCCTCTGAGCCTCTTTGCCTCTGTAGTCCAATAGTTTAATGAGCTAGTGGATTATCCCTTACATACAATATGTTATTTAAACGATTAACACATTTATTGACAAGCTAAATTTCTTTTCAATGGTGACCAGATGACCTTACTGATTTGTGCCGCCATTGTGGGGAGAATAATGTGGAGGAGAAGGGCAAGACAACACCTTGGGTAAGAAGCTATTTTTTTTTATAAAGAAATCCACCATAGGCCTCTGATCATTGTGGGCATGGCCTGTCTTTGCTAGAGTAGGAAATATGTGCATCACGGGTATTTGTAACTCATATTCACCCTGAAAATGCTAATTATTATCTTTGTTGATACAGATCCAGTGTGATGTCTGTGCCCGTTGGTTCCACATGAAATGTGTTGGGGAGCCCGACCCCAAGACATCCTACTGCTGTGCAGCATGCATTTAAAATATGCTTTTTTTTTTCTTTCTTTTTTTGCTTAGTTCGTCAAATTTGTAAATAGTTAGTGTTTGAAATCAATGTTTCTAATGTTTTAAAATATTTTAATTATTAAAACATTTCATTATAAAATATTACAATGGTTTTATTTAAAACACTTCCTATCCAAAAGAAAAAATAAGTTGCAAAAAAATAACATCACATTCATTATAAGTGAAATAGAGGAGGGTAACAGAATTCGGTGACCATTAAAATAGCCTTATCATATTTGGTGACCCTACTGTATGTCTGCTTCTGTTCATGTCAGCCCAAAATGATTTCTACTGTGAGAAGCTGAAGAGTTCACACATCATCAGAGTGAATTTGGAGTGTGTCACATTCATTATGAGTGAAATAGAGGAGGGTAACAGAATTCGGTGACCATTAAAATAGCCTTATCATATTTGGTGACCCTACTGTATGTCTGCTTCTGTTCATGTCAGCCCAAAATGATTTCTACTGTGAGAAGCTGAAGAGTTCACACATCATCAGAGTGAATTTGGAGTGTGTCACATTCATTATGAGTGAAATAGAGGAGGGTAACACAATGCGGTGACCATTAAAATAGCCTTATCATATTTGGTGACCCTACTGTATGTCTGCTTCTGTTCATGTCAGCCCAAAATGATTTCTACTGTAAGAAGCTGGAGAGTTCACACATCATCAGAGTGAATTTGGAGTGTGTCACATTCATTATGAGTGAAATAGAGGACGGTAACAGAATTCGGTGACCATTAAAATAGCCTTATCATATTTGGTGACCCTACTGTATGTCTGCTTCTGTTCATGTCAGCCCAAAATTATTTCTACTGTAAGAAGCTGAAGAGTTCACACATCATCAGAGTGAATTTGGAGTGTGTCACATTCATTATGAGTGAAATAGAGGAGGGTAACAGAATGCGGTGACAATTAAAATAACCTTATCATATTTGGTGACCCTACTGTATGTCTGCTTCTGTTCATGTCAGCCCAAAATGATTTCTACTGTAAGAAGCTGAAGAGTTCACACATCATCAGAGTGAATTTGGAGTGTGTCACATTCATTATGAGTGAAATAGAGGACGGTAACAGAATGCGGTGACCATTAAAATAGCCTTATCATATTTGGTGACCCTACTGTATGTCTGCTTCTGTTCATGTCAGCCCAAAATGATTTCTACTGTAAGAAGCTGAAGAGTTCACACATCATCAGAGTGAATTTGGAGTGTGTCACATTCATTATGAGTGAAATAGAGGACGGTAACAGAATGCGGTGACCATTAAAATAGCCTTATCATATTTGGTGACCCTACTGTATGTCTGCTTCTGTTCATGTCAGCCCAAAATGATTTCTACTGTAAGAAGCTGAAGAGTTCACACATCATCAGAGTGAATTTGGAGTGTGTCACATTCATTATGAGTGAAATAGAGGAGGGTAACAGAATTCGGTGACCATTAAAATAGCCTTATCATATTTGGTGACCCTACTGTATGTCTGCTTCTGTTCATGTCAGCCCAAAATGATTTCTACTGTAAGAAGCTGGAGAGTTCACACATCATCAGAGTGAATTTGGAGTGTGTCACATTCATTATGAGTGAAATAGAGGAGGGTAACAGAATGCGGTGACAATTAAAATAACCTTATCATATTTGGTGACCCTACTGTATGTCTGCGACATACAATTCGGTGACCTTTACAACTTGTTACAGCAATTTTGAGTGATTTTTTGTATTATTATTCTGTGCATTAATATAATAATTTACACAAAAATAATCTTTTTGTGCCATACATGTCTTTCATTGACTACTGGTTCCACAAATTAAATATATATCCTAATAAATAATATCCAATATAACATATTATTCTGAATAGCAAAACACACTGAGAAAAAAACTTTTCCTAAACGTGCACGTTCTCTTCTCGCGTGAGAACATAAACATTAATGAACACGGAAACACACGTAGTCGGCTACTCTGAAAAAAAGAAAAACACATTGAGCTCAATCTGGGCAAGCAAATAATCATTTATTGTGTAAATAACCATCATTTCTAAACAAACGTTTCGTAAATACCTTACCTTTGGCTTATAGTCAGAAGTTACGCTGTTTGCGTAGATCACGCAGCACAGTGACAACCGCGCCCATATACGGTCACAGACTATGACGGTCACAGATTCTGGTGTAACACCGGGACTATTTTTTCCAGCGGAAGGCAGGCTTTTAGTGATTTTACTTCATGAAAGTTGCATAGATACATATTTTTCGGCTTTAATATTTTTATTGTGTGGCAACCGTTTTATAAAAGCAATAAGGTACGAGAGGCTGTGCTGTATCGTGAATAAGTAACGGCTGGAGGGCGTTGTTAGGCACGACGCGAAGCGGAGCCGAAAAATATGTATCTATGCAACTTTCATGAAGTTGTACTTAAAATTGTACTTAAAATAATTGTACTTAAAATAATAGAAATAAACAGACAATTTTAGGATTTTGAACAATGTACAACTTTTTTTTTAAAATATTGATTCGATGATAGTATAATGAGTAATATATTTTAAAAAAGTATTTACACTAACAGTCTCAAAATTTTTTGGCCCCACGTGATATGAAGCTGTTTTGAATGTTCAGTGTGTGTTCTTCAGGAGGAACTGCTTGCGAGCAGTGAGAAGACACAGGAGAACGAGGAAATTCTCACTGGTGCCGAAGAGAAGCTTAACACTATAAAGAACAACATGCTTCAGAATGATGGTATGCAGTGAATGAAGCTTCGACATGATCCGATTCATGTATCTAGAAATATGATTGTAAGATTGTAACATATATAGTAAGTGTTACTTGATGATGTTTTCTCACAGGCCAGTTGGATGAGCAGCATGTGATGCATATCATAAGGGAGAAGCTAAACTCAATGCCTTGCAGAAATCAAGGATTCGTTCTGGATGGATACCCAAAGACCTATACACAGGCTAAAGAGCTTTTCCATGGTCAGCTATCTTCCTTTTAAACAAACAAAACCCAACATGGAAATATAAAGTCTTCACCTTTAACTTGTAAAATGTTTTCCAGATGCAAACATGGAAGTAGAAGATACCAGATCTACAATATCTCAGTATAGCAAAGTGTTGATTCCAGGTTAGTCATTTCAGAAGATACACACTGATATATTTCACTAATCTTGCAATGTTGTAAACGTTGTCAAAACGTTTAATTGCATGATGCAGCTTTTAAACATCTTAGTAATATCACAATAATGTAATGCTTTTTATTGTTTATGTAATAAAAGAGCTATGGCAATAATAATGATACGTTGGAAAATAATTATTAACATTGAGATACTCTTCAGCTTCCGCGTGCCATTTTTCAATATCCCGTTTCGCCCAGAAATATACTGCACTTTCTGTTGAGCAAAGAACCCTGACATTTTTTATTATTACAGGTTCCACAAAAATATTAAGCAGCAAATATTAATACTGTTTTCAACGTGATTAATAATTATAAATGTTACTTGAGCAGCAAATCAGCATATTATAATGATTTCTGGAGGATCATGTGACACTAAAAATCACAGGAATAAATTACATTTTAAAATAATATTAAAATCAGCTGTTTTAAATTGTAGTAATATTTCAAAATATTACTGTTTGTACTGTTTTAATAAAGGGTTAGTTCACCCAAAAATGAAAATTCTGTAATCAATTACCCTAACTGTCACTTTGACGCTTCAAAAAGTTCATAAAGAGATCGTAAAACTAATCCATATGTATTGAGCGGTTTAGTACAAATTTTCTGAAGAGACTCGATCGCTTTATATGATGAAGAGATTAAATTTAGGCTTATTTTTAATCAAATACATTCAGATTTGGTGAGCATAAGTATGGAAGCTTGTTTCCGCCACAGAATGAAAAATAAAAAAGGTAATTGCGACTTTTTATCTCACAATTCTGACTTTTTTTCTCACAATTGCGAGTTTACATCTCGCAATTCTGACTTTATTTCTCAGAATTGCAAGATATAAAGTCATAATTGCGTGATATAAAATCGCAATTGCGTGTTATAAAGTCAGAATTGCGAGATATAAAGTCAGAATTGATTGATATAAAGTCGCAATTGCAGGTTATAAAGTCAGATTTGCGTGATATAAAGTCGCAATTGCGTGTTATAAAGTCAGAATTGTGAGATATAAAGTCAGAATTGATTGATATAAAGGCAGAATTGCGTGATATAAAGTCGCAATTGCGTGTTGTAAAGTCAGAATTGCGAGATATAAAGTCAGAATTGATTGATATAAAGTCAGAATTGCGAGATATAAAGTCAGAATTGATTGATATAAAGTCAGAATTGCGTGATATAAAGTCAGAATTGCGAGATATAAAGTCAGAATTGATTGATATAAAGTCGCAATTGCGTGTTATAAAGTCAGAATTGCGAGATATAAAGTCAGAATTGATTGATATAAAGGCAGAATTGCGTGATATAAAGTCGCAATTGCGTGTTGTAAAGTCAGAATTGATTGATATAAAGTCAGAATTGCGTGATATAAAGTCGAAATTGCGTGTTGTAAAGTCAGAATTGTGAGATATAAACTATTCTGAGGAGGGAAAATTTGTCTTTTCCCCCCCTTAGAATTGGCCTGATAACTCGCAATTGCGAGTTTATATCTCACAATTCTGAGAAAAGATGTCAGAATTTCGAGATATAAACTCGCAATTGCGAGATATAAAGTCGCAATTATGAGAAATAAACTCGCAATTCTGTCTTTTTTTCTCGCAATTGCGACTTTATTTCTCATAATTGCGACTTTATATCTCGCAATTGCGAGTTTATTTCTCAGAATTGCAACTTTATATCTTGCAATTGCGAGTTTATTTCTCAGAATTGCGACTTTATATCTCGCAATTGCGACTTTATTTCTCACAATTCTGACTTCATATCTCGCAATTGTGAGATAAAAAGTCGCAATTATTATTTTTATTTTTTTTATTCAGTGGCGGAAACAAGCTTCCATACATAAGAGACTTCTTTGAAAAACAAAATATCTTACCGACCCTAAACTTTTGGGTAACGCTTCCTTTTACAGTCCTGTTACCCATTACTATGTACTTATTATAGTAATTATAATTACTGGGTAATAATAGGTACTAACCCTGAACCTACCCCTAACCCATGTACTTACCTTATATTAGCCAGTACTTTCTAGGTAAGTACACTGTAAGTACACGTAAGTACTGCACTGTAAAAGGAAGCGTTACCAACTTTTGAACAGTCGTGTATGACACATCACGGAAGTAAAACTGGGCTGGCAAATGCTGTTTCATGTTAACATTGGCTTTTTTCCTTCAGGGTTCGTCTTCTCACTGGAAGCCACTGATGAATTTCTTAAAGAGCGTGTCCGGAGTCTCCCGCAGAATGTGGCGGAGGAAATGCACTGCACTCAAGAAGAGTTTACAGAGAGTCTTGCAAAATTCAGGGAGACTTCGCCAGAAGACGAGTCCGTGCTTGACTACTTCGATGAACTGGAAATCCACCCCGAACACATCGGTTAAAACCCAAACTTTCACTCTTATTTTTGTGCTCACATAAGAAAATCGCACGCCGCACACAATTAAATTGATAAACGAACTGACGGATAAGCTGATAGTCATGAAGCAGGGTGGTGTTGTTATTAAGAATAGTGTTTTCATGATATCATTCTTAGACGTTGAGAACGTGGCCGCGGTGGAGAAAATAATTAAGACGGTGGGGCGGCCCATGAACTACGGCCTGAGTCCAGAGGAAATGCAGGAAAAGAGGAAGAGGAAAGAGGATGAATGGCACCAGCAGCTGAAAAAGGAGGAAGTTGAGAAGGAACTCGTGGAGAATGATAAAATGGCTGCTCTTTTGGACAAATGGGTACATTTGTTTTTTTTTTAATAATTCCCTATTTGGTCAATGACTATTTAATTAATAAGAATACAGTAAAAACATTGATATTGCAAACCCTGGAAACCCTGATACATTTTTCTTCAGGATTCTTTGATGATTAGAAAGTTCAAAATAACTTTATTTGAACTATGATTGTTGTAACAAGTTATGGAAGCTTGTTTCCGCCACAGAATAATAAAAAATAAAAGGTAAAAGTGACTTTTTATCTCAGAATTGCATGATATAAAGTCACAATTACGTGTTACAAAGTCAGAATTCTGAGAAAAAAAGTCAATCTTTTCCTTAGAATTGGACTTTATAACACGCAATTGCGAGTTTATATCTCACAATTCTGAGAAAAGATGTCAGAATTGCGAGATATAAACTCACAATTGCGAGATGTAAACTTTTGATTCAGGGGCGGAAACAAGCTTCCAAAGAATGGTCATGTTTCTCACTTGGACTTTTATTCTTAAAATTTCCTGTTTCTAGTTTTGCAGTCCTGTTTGCAGTTTTATTTATTAAATAAATAAATAAAACTGAACATAAAAGTCCAAATGAGAGACGTGACATTTACTGCCCACAAGCATTTGACCAGTAGTGTATGAATGAGCAGCGAAAGCTTTCTTTTAGCCTTCCGAAACGACCACGTTGTTCAGCTTGTGGATGTGTTTTTGCAGAACAGGAACGTGGCCGAGGTGAAGAAGCAGGAGCATGAGCTCTTAGAGACACGATCTGTCCCCGTGAGACACTACTTGATGAAATACGTCATGCCCACTGTCATACAAGGACTGGTGGACTGCTGTAAGGTCAAGCCTGAAGACCCTGTGGACTTTTTGGTAACACTTGTATAATGGTATTCATATCCTGTGTTTTATTTAACAACAAATTATTTCAACTTAATTGGTGTCACATTCTCCATTTCAGGCTGAATACCTCTTCAGGAACAACTCAGATGATTAGCTCATTCTGCTATAACAAGAAATGTATAATAAAAAAGTGTCATTAAAAGTTTGTGCTGTGTCTTATTGTGTTTTTTAAACAGGTGCTAGTTAAAGATTTAAAATGTCTTCCCCTTCCCAAGGGGCCAGATCACATGATGTACACATGATGAGCCTTGCTTTGTAATCTGACCAAGTTATTAAGTTAACCCTTTCATGTATGAATTATGATAACCTCAGTCAGGATTTTTTTTCCCTATGTGGTTTTATTGCTCTTAGGGCATGAAAAACAAGATTTGAATTTTTTTTTTTTTTTTTTTTACAAAAAGAGATTTTCAGATGTCCACTTGTGTGGACAGCATGCGGTTATGGTTTAAACTGAAAAGATACTGTATAATAATAATAATAATATATATATATAACATAATACAGTAATAACACATAAATATTGTGTGTATTTAACAAACCAATCAATCAAATTCTATAAATCATGTGGAAAATATATATAAAAAACATGAATGTGAAACTTCATACAAGTTGAACTTTGCGTATCTTCGATATCAGAACGTGAGGACGTGATTCCATCAGAAATCTCTACAGCCTGTCAAGGTACATCTGTGGAAACCACTCAGATGCTCCCTCAGTGTACCAGAGATATGTCAGTTTACCCTTATTAGCTGATAATTCTGATTATTTTCAAGATGGACACATTTCTAACATAGCTCTCCTCTGAGAAAACGTACTCGGTTACTAACGTAACCTCGGTTCTCTCTAGAGAGGGAACGAGTACTGCGTAATAGCTTACGCTAGGGGAAAAACTCTTTTCCACGAGATATTGAAGCCAAAAATTATCCTTAATTTTTTATTAATGTAAAACGCTTTGCGGCAGCAAGCAGACATAGGCGAAACAGCTCGCGCGCCTATTGGTTGCTCTGCAGCAAATGCAGCAGCCTATCGAGAGAGACTCTGCGTGACGTAATGACCAATGGGGGCAATTCGCGCCCATATCGTCACGTCCCGCCAGAAGGGGCGTGGTCTCACCCTATAAATATGCTCGTTAGGCTGGTACAAGCTGGTTTTTATCGCTGAAGCGAACCAGAGCGTATTCCAAGCACGGCAAGATACGCAGTACTCGTTCCCTCTCTAGAGAGAACCGAGGTTACGTTAGTAACCGAGTACGTTCTCTTACGAGAGTATCTCTCGTACTGCGTAATAGCTTACGCTAGGGGAACACAATGCAACACGCCATGCGTACAGGGATCCAACACCAAAGTCCCGGGGGCCGAAGCCCAGGGCTCATGTAGTGCATAATCACCATAAACTCACATAGAGTGGAGGAAGAGAGGCTGGAAGCGTCATTCCCTATAAAAAAGCACCCAGCGGGGCTATCATATGACAATAAAACGCGCAGCCAGGGTGAAAGCTTTCAGCCTGATCTGGGTGGCCATACGTGTGTCAACACTCATGGGGCTGCAGTAAACTCAGCATCTGGGCCGCACAGCGGGGCAGATAGCACTGAATTTTAGACCGCCAAAAGCTTAGCTTGTAAGGCGGGTACCTCCAGGTTATAGTATTTTATAAATGTAGACGGCGAGGCCCAGCCCGCGGCCGTACAGATATCTTGCAGGGAAACCCCGCTCGACCATGCCCACGAAGAGGCCACGCCTCTCGTGGAGTGCGCTCTGACACCCAAGGGGCACTGTAGGCCCTTCGCAGAGTAAGCGAGCGCAATGGCATCCACTATCCATCTGGATAGGCTCTGTTTTGAGGCGGCGAGTCCCTTGGAGCGCCCGCCAAACTAAACAAAAAGCTGCTCCGTCTGTCTGAAAACAGACGAGCGTGACACATAAGCTCTCAATGCCCTGACGGGGCAAAGGACACTCGCATCCTCCTCCTCACTGAGAACCGGAAGGGCGGACAGGGAAATTACCTGGGCCCTGAACGGTGTATTGAGGGATTTCGGGACATACCCGTGCTTAGGTTTGAGAATGACCTTCGAGTCATTAGGCCCAAACTCCATACACGACGCGCTTACTGAAAGCGCCTGTAAGTCCCCTATGCGCTTCACTGAAGCGAGAGCCATGAGAAACACTGTTTTGAACGACAGGTGTTTCATGTCCACCAGCTGGATTGGCTCGAACGGGGCGCCTTTCATGGCCTCCAGGACCGTGGAAAGGTCCCATGTCGGGACTGAAGGGGGCCTGGGAGGGTTCAGCCTCCGAGCTCCCCTAAGGAAACGCACGACTAAGTCGTTTTTCCCCAGCGACTGGCCAGACACCGGTTTTGCAAACGTTGCTATGGCCGCCACATATACTTTGAGCGTGGATGGGGTCCTGCCCTTATCCAGTAGCTCTTGAAGGAAGGAAAGCACTTCCGAAACCCCGCATTCCACAGGTGAAAAGCTCTGGGCTTGACACCATGCAGAGAAAACAGACCATTTCGAGGAGTAGAGCCGCCTGGTAGACGGAGCTCTAGCCTGCGCGATCGTGTTTAACACTCCTTCTGGGAGGCTAGCGGGTACCCGTTGATGGCCCATGCGTGCAGGGACCACAACTCCGGGTGAGGGTGCCAAATCGAGCCCTCCGCCTGAGAGAGGAGGTCTCTCCTCAATGGTACAGGCCATGGGGCAGTGCTGGTCAGCTGCATCAGGGCAGGGAACCACGTCTGGTTTGTCCAGAGCGGAGCTACGAGCAGCACTGGGCATCCGTTCTCCCTGATTCGTTCCAACACCTGAGGCAGGAGCGAGACAGGAGGAAAAGCATATAGGGGGCAGCGGGGCCAAACATGAGCCAGCGCGTCCTTGCTTTTCGAGAAAAACTCCGGGCAATGAGCGTTTTCGTGGGACGCGAATAGGTCCACCTGTGCTCTGCCGAACGTTTTCCACAGCAGCTGGACCGTCTGCGGGTGCAGCGACCATTCCCCTGCTGGAACATTGTTCCTGGACAGTCTGTCTGGTCCCACATTCAGGTGACCAGGCACGTGCGCTGCTCTCAGTGAGAGCAGGTTGTGCTGAGCCCAGACCAGGAGGCGTTCCGTCAGCCTGTGAAGGTTTCGTGACCTGACGCCGCCCTGGCGATTTATGTATGCCACCACTGACATGTTGTCCGACCGGACCAAGACGTGGTGGCCTGTTACCTGGGGACAAAAACGCCGTAGCGCTTTGTCGACTGCTATCATCTCCAAGCAGTTTATGTGAAGGAGCTTTTCCCGTTCTGACCACAGGCCAGCTAGCGGTCTGCCCTCGAGCAGCGCTCCCCACCCCGAGGTGGAGGCGTCCGTAGACACCACCTTCACACTCGAAGCGGTCCCCAGACTCACACCTGACTGATACCAGTCGGTTATTTTCCAAGGTTCCAGAGCTGAAACACACTGAAGGTCGACCCTGAGGCGAAACAGACCCGCTGTCCATGCCCTGGGTGGAACCCGCGCTTTCAGCCACATCTGCAGTGGGCGCATGCGGAGCAAGCCCAACTGGAGTACAGAGGCTGCTGAGGCCATCAGCCCCAGCATTTTCTGAAACCTTTTGAGCGGAACTATCGAGCCGTGGCGGAAGGATTCCGCGCCGCGCTGAATATTTAGCCCGCGCTCTGGTGACAGGCGTGCTGTCATGGACAGCGAGTCCAACACGGTTCCCAGAAAGGAAATTTTCTGACTGGGAGACAGTGAGCTCTTCGCCCAATTGACTGTGAGGCCCAGCTCCTCGAGGTGCTCGAGTAATGCGGCCCTGTGTTCTATGAGCTCCGATCGTGATCGAGCTAGAATCAGCCAATCGTCCAAGTAGTTCAGGAATCGCATGCCCTGAAGTCTCAGGGGTGCGAGCGCCGCGTCCATGCACTTCGTGAATGTACGAGGTGCTAGGGACAGGCCGAACGGCAGGACTGTGTATTGATATGCCTGGCCCTCGAAAGCGAACCTCAAGAATCGCCTGTGATGGGACGCTATTTGTATTTGGAAATAGGCGTCTTTCAGATCTATTGACATAAACCAGTCCCCGTGGCGCACTTGCGCGAGGATTTTCCTGGTCGTAAGCATTCTGAACTGGCGCTTCACAAGCGCTCTGTTCAGCTGTCGCAGATCTAAAATGGGTCTGAGACCTCCATCTTTTTTCGGTACCAGAAAATATCTGCTGTGTAGGCCCCCTTTGCTCTGAGCTTGAGATAAAGGTTCTATAGCACCTTTGCTCAGTAGTTTCGCTATCTCGGCTCGAAGTAGATGAGATACTTCGTTTTCCACCGTCGTCTCGACGCGCGCCGTATAACGGCGGGGACGTCGAGCGAACTGTAACGAATAGCCTCTTTTTATAGTGTTCAGCACCCATTCTGATACCCCAGGAAGCTGTGCCCACACTTTCGCGTGAATAGCTAGGGGTAGAATGAGATCTGGGCTCTGGCCGAGACATAGTGACGGCAAGAGAGCTCCGGCGTGCTGTAACGCAGACACTGTGTTTACAGTGTGTGAGGCGGGGGGCGCGCCGATCGCGGCGGGCAGCCTGGCCGCGCTCAAAACCCTTATAGCAGTTTGCTGAGGGAGAGAGAGCGGGGTGAGCCCCGTGGGGCTTAACATGTCTGTGAGTGAATGTGGGCGCAGGACAGCGGGCACATTTACTGCACTGAAAAACACCGTCGGCCTGAGCTGACTGAATGCGTGTTGGTTTCGTTTTCACAGAACCCGTGGGACATGTGGTGTGTAGTGTTTGTGGGCACTGAGACGTAGGCACATTCACTACATTTAGTGCACAATCGACATGAGGCGGGCTGTGTTTGTGTGTAGAAATGAGCCCTGGGTTGTAGGCATTTTCAATACACTCATAACACCATCGGCTGTGGCCGGAATACCAGAAAATACACCATTTATGTGATTTATCTGGGTCGCCGTGGGAACAGCATTTGTGTGCAGGCAAGCGGGCATGGTACTGGCTTGCTTACTGCAAAATACACTGGAACAGTCACATTTTCTGGAACTGAACGAGCGAAAATTTCAGTGGAAGTCTGGCCACGGCGAGACTGAAACACCGTCGATTTCCTAGGAGGCTAGGAAGACTTGTGTTGG